AACATGTGAAAGGAATGGAATCCATTTTCCAGATTGGCCTCTTAGCACACCCCAGCTGAAGAAAGTTGTGATTTCCTATGAAAAGTCGCCTGAGTGTCATCCCAGGGATCAGTAATTCCTTCTCTCTTTGCTCTATAAAATGAATCCAATAAAACCTTTGTCTCCGTGTCCCAGAAGAGAAACACACACACACACACACACACACACACACACAGAGAGAGAGAGAGAGAGAGAGAGAGAGAGAGAGATCTCTCCTTAAGATGGTGTTGCCCAATGGAACCTGGCGTTTTTTAAATTCTGTCTTCCTACCCAAACAGCAAAGGAAGCCCTTTACTTGGGTATTTTCAAAGAATTTTTTAACCTTCATTTTTTTAAACCCGGAACGGGGCAGGGCTGAAAATGTTAGATTATCCTTCCTGCCAAGTCAGACTTTGGTAGAAGCTTGGTTTTTTTTTTGGTTTTTTTTTTTTTTGCGTGTTGGTCACTGGGGAACTCAAATGTACAGTCAGACGTGCAGAGTGACTCGCAGAAACGCACCGAGTCGAAAGGGAAGTGCAGGCCAAGTTAGACTAGGATTTATGTAACAGCAGCAAGTGACACCAAGCAGACACCAAGTCTGCTCTAGGAATTTCCTAGGAGCCCTGGGCCACCCATGGGAGCGTTTCCCAGGTTAAACAGACCATCGGATTTCCTGCCCCACTCTCAGTTGTGAATCCACCATCAGGTTTGGCTCCTTCACCTTCTTTGGCTCCGCTTCCTTCTACCCTTATCACATGGGCCACCCTACACCTAGCGATCTCCAAAGACGACGGACTACCGTTCTCACCATCCCAGACGGGTCCGCAATCCACCAAAATTATAGACCCCTAAATTACGGACTGCCGCCTTATATTGGTAGGTTGCATTAAGACAGAAAGAAATTGAGGTCGATTACTCGCTTCGGTTTTAATCCAGTCCAATTTGCATTTTCGGGGGGGGGGGGAAAGGAGGGCCAGTGGAGAGAATAGTTGTGAACCCAAAAACTCTTTCTGTTATGCGGTACTACTGTCCTTGTTTGTGTTTCACCTTTTTGTTTTTGTTTTTAAGAAAAACTAGGCGACTAAGGTTGGTAAACGTTCTCCGGCCAGCATTTGCCCACACCAGTTTTTGAAAATGGTCGCTAGACCTTCCAGATCTCTGAGGATCGAATCTGTCAGACAAAGAAGTGGAGGACTTGGGCTGCAATCAGTTTCCTCCTAAAGGAGTCCGGACGAGACTTTCTGTGGACTCTAATGAAGGGGCGGCGACGGGCGTCTTCGGAAAGCCATTTCTATCCTGTCCGCAATCTGATATAATGTCCGCGAAACGAACGCTTGGCTAGGCAAGCAGTGGATCGCCCTTCAAAGCAGTGGATCGCCCTTCAAGGACTGCGCCAATCTCGGCGGCGTCCCCGGACAGTGAGAATGAAAAGCGAAGGCCCTCCGCGCAGGGAGGATCGGTCGTTTTTTATAGCAGAGCTTCAATGCTCCGTAGAGCCTTTTCTTGCTACTCTCTGTTGCCCCTTGGAAACTGGCGATTCAAACCCCAGTCTAAATATTTGGGTGGCGCTCACTTTGAATAATAAAGTCTGATTTGATTCTTCCAGTTGTCAGCAGAATTAGGTACTCAAAGGATGGTGCCCTAAGAGAAAACGCCAGGTGGTCGGTCCAATGCTTACCAAGGTGTCTCCGTTCTTCAAATACTTCCTGAGCAAAAGCCCCCCAGTTGGAGGTCCGGGATAGGGAAACAGAAGGTTGAGAGAACTTTAGCAGTTCCCGCCTAGCTTAAATGTTGAGCAAACAAACGGGATGTAAGAAAAATGGAAGCTCGGAGAAATTTCAGAGGAATAATAGTTTGGAAAGGCCAAAAGCAGAGAACGTGATTTTTTAATAGTGCCTTTTGATGACCTCCCCACAGAACCTTGGGTTGGCTTTTACATTTCTCCCTACCAAAAAGCAGGCTGTCCAAAGTGCGGACAGATCCTACGGAACAACACCGCGTCGAATGCGGTACAGTACAGAACGATTGTCGGCAAGGAGACGGGCCCGATTATTCCAATCTATCAATCTCGTGTTAACTGGTCACAAAGAAACTGCCACTTTTTGTGGGATTCCCTTACTCTTGGATAGGATGTGAACAGGGTGTTCTGATGTTTAGAGCAAGTTTGTTATTTCGTTAACTGATCGCTCTATATCTGTGGTGTTTTTTTTTTTAACAGATCCCCTTCCATACACATTTCTTCTTGGCCTTTCGGTTTACTTTGGGTACGGAGTTGGTTTTGTTTTGTTTTAAATCGGGAGTGCCATTTTCAATGAGTGGGGGGCAGGGTGATAGGCTCTTCTTTGGGTATTGTTTCACACTGATCTCAGAAGCTTCCTTGGTTTTTGGGGGGGGATTGTTTTTAATCATAAAGTGGGCTAACCATTCTATTGAATTAAAACATAATGAATTGGCCAGCGTTTGGAAACAAATCCAATTTCTAGCATAAACGAAACCAAGCGTAGCCCCCCCACCTCTTTCCTAAAATAGCAGCAGAAAATAATCTCCAACGGTCAAAGGACCTGAGCATCCAACCGAAGGTAAAGGCTTTTAAATAGTTTGAGGAAAGAGACAATGAGGTATGTTGCATGTTCCTAAGCAGGGAAGCCCCCACAGGCTCCTGCATGTTCCTAAGCAGGGAGGCCCCCACAGACTCCCGCTTCCCAAGTAACACAGCTATCTGAAGCCCCAGCATAAGGACGTCTTCAGCCGGGCAATCCCATGCATGCCCAGCAGATATCCGTCTTCCTGAATTCCCGGGCATGAAGTCTTGGATATACCTGACTAGAGCTGCCCAAATCCTTGCTAGATCTAGCCATAAATTAACACATTGAACTTAGACGTTGCCACAATCATAAATTGGCCAGTTTGTGATAAGTCAAGTCAAGTCGTCTCTTGGTTCAACTGCCTTCTTTCACTACCTCGAAATGCTGGGCTTCCCTTGCAGGGACACTAACCTACATTTGGACAAAGCTTCTGCCTCCTGCTTGCTCTCCTTCTTCCTAAATTTGAAAGACATCTTCGAGCGCTGCTGCGATAGAGCGGTTCCCTTAGTATTAAGGGAACATGCGTAAATGTTGCCTGTTCATAAAAGCTCAGTGGCTCTGGGATAAATATTTTCTAAGAGAAAGGGGGGGAAGAGAGGGAGAGGGAGAAGGAGAAGGAGGAGAGGGAGGGAGGGAGGGAGAGAGGGCGAGGGGAGAGAGAGAGAGAAAGACACACACACACACACACACACACACACACACACAGAGA